TATAATTATAAACTTATAATATTTAGTGACATTATAATTATAATATTTTTGTTTGTGCAATTTTGTAATATAGTATTGTAAAAAAAAAAAGTATTGTACAATTTTAGAATATACATAAAATTAAACGGCTTAAATAATTGGATGAAAAGTATGATTGTGCCGCAGAGTGGCAAGCATGGAGTGATGTTCTGGTTGAGGAACTTCATGATTGCCTCTAAAATTTCAAATCGAATGCCAGAGTATCCCTGGAGCAGGGTGTTGATCCTGACCAGCATGGCTGCTCTGCTAGCTGAGTGAGGCAGCATATGTGGAAAAAAAAAAAAGAGATGGGTTTAACTGCTGACTGTTTGGGACTTAACGGTCAGCAGTGACGGTAATATGGACGGTGTTAGTGGAGGGACGACAACGAACAAAAAAAGCCAAGTAGAGGGACGACGTTTTGGCTCTTTGGAGAGTAGAGGGATGACAATGAACATGACCTTAGTAGAGGGACAAGAACGAATAAAATATTAAAGTAGAGGGACGACAGTTGGCTTTAAACCGAAAATTCGGTCAACAAAGCTAGGTACGATCCCTAAGCGTGGGACGCAAGGGTCATTAATTAATTGACCCGGCGAATTTAGGAACCTCAGAAAAATCCCAAGTGGAAAGCTACCTTTGAACAAAAGTCCACAGCGCACCATAATCCTTCCGAAGTGGAAAAAGCAGCCCTGCGTGCGTCTCGCCGTGCTCCACAGGTCCACCAGAGCTCCACCCCCCGACGAATCAGCATCATCAGTTCATCACCGTCCACTAAAGCAATCAATTATCAAATGGTCAGCAGTGAATAAATTAAGCATCAAAGCTTTCCAATGTGCCCTTGGGTTAAGAAATTGAAATGGGACCTCCAATGTCTTTATTGAAAAATCTTAGATTCCCTACGGAAGATGCATTCTTCTTTTAGGATTCCGATTTGGTTGGGGGGCATGATTTTGTTTTGGACTAGTTATTCATTATGCCCATATTAAATTGTTCAACCTCTATTTTTTTTTTTTTTTAGTCATGAAACCGACTCGAATTTTGCTTTTGGAAAAAAAAATATAAATGAGTGACTAAAATCACTTGATTCATAAGGTTAGGTTTGTTCAACCTATATTTTTAAACTTTAAACTAATAAACATTTAGAGAAATTTATGAGTCAATTCTGTAAAATAAATTAATTAGGAAATGTAGGGTCACATTTCGATTTTTGGTTTATGCACTAGTACCGCATGCTCCTATCCTATTAGATTATTTATTTGAAAAAAAAGAAGAAGAAGTTATGTAGTATAAACTACGAATGAATTCATTTTTTTAATACTACCATATTTTTTATGAATGAAAACCTTTTTGGCTTCAAGATACCGCTACTTTAGAGCTTTTTTTCGGCTAAATCTTCTAATATTTAAAAAATACAGTGAATTTTGATTAATTCAAAGTTAAAATTAAGTTCAATTTCATAAAAAAACTATTTTAATATTCATTTTTTTATTTATAAAATTTAAACTCCAAAATCTTATTTAAGAAACATTAAATTTTCTTTTTACTTAAACTAATAAATTATTGCTACTAATTTAAATTATTTTGTTATTATTCTCTTCTCTCTTTTTTTCATTTTTCGTTTGGTTAAAAATAGAATGGAAACACAAGAAATTCCTAAATTTCCTTTCATTATTATTTTTTTTAACGATAATCTTTTTCATATTTCTATAAAAAATGATCTCTTTCGTATAACTTCCAAACATACGGTCTCGGTTCATTATTATTTCTCTCAATTTTTTACATTATTTGTCCTTTCAAGAAGAAAAAAACGCTACATCTTTTAGTCATTTTCAGCACCGGAGGCATGTATCACATGCCACCTGCAAAATGCTACGAAAAACGAGTTTTTTATTAATTAGAAAGTACTACATGCAGTGGTGAGGCCATAATGGAAATAAAGATGGATCCACAATGGCTATCTTTATCTCCATTTCCATCAGCATGACATCATTTATTCGTGGACTTAGTTTTTTAGGAGATGTCAACCACCAAGCCTAGGCAACTCTGAATCACACCCAGCCGGGGGGTTCGCCAGACCCTGGTTGGGTCCGTCGACACAGATACTGTGTATTGTTTTGTATATAAGTCCGACCAATTGTCCAGGTAAAGAGTTTCACTCATTGTTCATCTACCAAGCAGTGTTTGGGATTAAAGGTGGTGAATATGAGTACTTACATGTTTCAGAAAACCACCTTGTCCAACTTGACCTTAAGTATCTGATATCCTGATCCTGCCAAACATATATGTAGTGCAAAGAGTACGTACCCACAATAATATGATACAAGTACAACCGAATGGTTTATAAACGAGAGGGACAATGAAAAAGATACTAGTCAGTTTAAAAGAACAAATACGGAGATTACCTGACAGAAATGAGAAATGTATATGATCCTGACCTGCGCAGAACAGTAAAGGTACCATATGGTCATGTACCAAACAGAAAGTAGGGTTAGACTATAATCAAGTTGCTTTTTTTAAATCAACACCATAATTAAGTTGTGCAACCGGCCAGAATAAAAATATGTAATTTTTTAGTCACGTACACGTGAGCAATCGATCAAAAGCTATTGGAACCGAAGTTTATTTTACCTGCTTAGTGCGCAATCATAGCAAATTAGTAACTACCCACATTTCTGTTTTCTGTGATACCTATCCATTACAAAGGTCATATGTGCCTTATCTCCTTATCTCCCATGATCTTGATAGAGTGGGGGCACAATGGGATATTAATAATGGTATCCTGATGCAAATTCAAAAGGCAAGGGAAGGCCTAATAAAAGATGCTCATAAAATACACAAAGGTGTCTTTGTCTGATTTCAACGTGAGGCTATGGAAAACATACTATTTTTTTTTTTTTTTACACACGTATTGAAGGTTATTATTATTAGGTTAAATGTTAATTTTAGTTTTTTAATTTTAAAATTTTGTATAATTTTCATCTCTAAATTATTTTATATATATTTTTTAACCCTCAACTTTAAAAAAT